ATGTAGCAAACAAAGATTTCAGGTATTTGTTTCAGGTTAGCAATTCTCTTAGTCATTTTTTTTTAAATCTTTTATTCTGAATGATCTTTTTCCTCATTGGATATGCTATTCCCTCAAGGTTTTTCACGTGTTAATGAAGAGGACTTTTAATGTTTAGATTCAAGAACAAGAGTTTGATTTCAGTTCTGATGATGATTTGCTGTGAAATTGAGCATGTCACTAGAATCTTTGTACTTCAACTTGCATAAATAATACTAAATGATTTTAAAGGTACGTATGAGGCTGTGACAATGTCTTTTGAATTGGTTTGAAGATGTTAATCTAACCCTTTATTCACATTTAGTTTTTTTCTTCGTGTAGAGTTTGCAATTGTAATCCGTGCCACATATTACTGCTCTCACTGTGCTGATACAGTAGGTGGTATTTGGAGTAAAAATGTCTTATACTGTGTTTCAGACCACAAGTGATTCCATTTTTTTGGTTTTGCTCTTTCAAAGTCAGCTCAGTTGTGAAAGAGGGGAGGGTAGTTTCCTGGTCTTCAAAAGTGATTAAATTATTTTATTTAGATTAAATTTGACTTGTGCCATATGTAAAATGTTAGTATGTGTGAAAGCATATGGGCTCTGTAACTGTGGAAACAATAGTTTCTAGATAGAATAACTGATGAATACAGTACAGGATATGGATGCATTTGTAGGACAGTTTTGTAAGATACATGGACACAGTGTCTAAGTTACTTGCCACTACCGAGCCATCCCCTGATGAGCTAGTCTGCACATGCCCTTTCACTCCCCAAAGCTAATGTCAGGTACGTTTTGCCTTTTTTGTGTCTTTGTCCTGAAGGCAGAATAAATAAAATGAATAGGTCAGCCCAGTTCCACTAGGTTCAGAGTGAAAATACATAAAATGAGAAAGAAAAAGCAACAGAGATCCTCCTGTATTTTTTGAAAGAGGCTATTTTACCTGTACACTGCTTTTTATGCATTTCTTTTACTAAATCAGAATTGGTGCATTGTTAGAGATAAGTGAAAAGACAGGTATATGCAAGATATGTATTTTCATGTTTTATAGGAAGGTGAGTAGAGAAAGAGAGCAGGCTTATGGGAATGTCAAAAAGAAAAGATACCTTGCAAAACTATCAGATTAGCTAAAAAAACGAGTGCTTTTTCTTGATCATCACCTCTTTGATCTGCACAAAGGGAAGAGTTGGGGTTTTTTGTTAAAGAGGAGATACCTGAGTATATGGTACGATACTTAGATTATGTAATTTACTTCATGCCTTTTACATGGAAGAATGTCATTTGTATGTAAAATGAAAAATGAATACCACTTAGCCTTTAGTGTGTTATAGACAATATATTGTTATTAACTACTTTTATCTCTCTCTGGCTCTGATTGTACATGAAATATGTGACCACATACAAATACTAGCACAACTGCAGGGTTTGTATGCTTGTAAAAACAAACATTCTTGTAAAGACAGAGGTTTGTCCTTTTATCTTCCTATCTGCAATTCCATAAGCAAACATATGTTTGTGGTTTTACCATGAAGTGGTTACATTTTGGTGAAATACCAGAATTTGATCATACTGTTACTGTTACTAAGGTTTGCCACTTCCACTAAAAACCTCTGGACTTCTTTGGTTTTGCAATAAATTGAAACTAACCAGAAACATATTTGATAGATTGGCTTAACTAGAACCATAAATCAGAACCACTGATGTTTTAGATGCAGGTGAATATCCTGTTCTGAATTAGACTTTTGGAATGTTTTTTTTTTTTCCAGTTTGGGTCATTCACAATAGCATAAATATTTTTAAAACCAGTAGATTGTTATATTTTGATAGGGTTAATGCACTCCTGAGAGACACAGTTACTCTTTAGAGTGGTAGAGATGTTTTCTTTAGTGTGTGATGTTTGGAGGTTTTATGTATTTCCAGGTGCTATGCTTAACTGTCTTTAAAAAGGATTTAAAGTGAACTTGACAGAGTCAGCAAGCAGTGTGAACTTTATCTTGTAGCTTTTCTTAGAGAATAAATTATTTCTTGTGTTTAAATGTGAGTTTTATGTTAATGGAATTGGCTCATATTCATGAGATGCATTCATTGAACAAAAATGTTTGGCATATGCATGGTGTAAGTGGAAAGGAATTAGGCCCTTGAGAGGTCGAGGTGGTTTGTCTCAGGAGGTGCCGAACTCAGCAGCCTGGCAGAGGCGAGGCTGCTGCAGCTCTGTGTCCCCAGGCCCAGCCAGTGGCGAGGCTGAGCACGTGTTCCCACATGTGGATGCATACACTCAACACACGGGCATATGTACGTGGTCATCAACATAGACCGACACAGACAGCACCCACAGCACTCACACAAACACAAACTGCACCAGTGGCCTGACCCCTCTGGCCGATCAAGATGAAAGCCTGTTTGTGGAATACGTATAGATAAATGTACATCATGACAACGTGGATGCCTTCAGTAGCTGGTCTTTGACGTTCAGGCTGTGCAGTCGCTGGCCCTCTGCAGTTGCCAGCACGTGAGGCTTGCTGTGCGGCTCACTGCTCCGTTCCAGTTGCTGGTGCTCAGCCCTGCTTCTGCACACGCACTGGCAAATGCCCACACACCTCACAGGATCTTTAGGCAGCGTATCCAGTAGTTGACCCCTAGACCCTCTGGCCTCCTTGTCGCCTCACGCGCAGACACACACATGCAAATGGGTCTTTCTGGTAGGTGGTGCAGTCTTACACCCGAGCAGTACCTGACCCTCATATCCCAGAGGCTCTCCTGTAGCTGGGACCTCCTGGTTCCTCCAGTAACTGTCAGTGCCCTTAGTCTCTCCAGAGTCTGCCCCAGATTTGTGCCTACTCTGATACCTGGCTCCAAGCCTCTTCTAATATTAGTCCAGCTTGATGCTCCTGAGCAAGTACACACACTGACACGCTCACATACAGACAATGTGTATGCATCCCACTCTCCCCAGTTTCTGGCACCACAGACATGCACATCCCTATGACTTGTGGTCCCCCCTCCAGTTGCAGGCACTCAGACCTTGAGGCACAAAGAATCTCCTGCCCAGGAGTTTAGAAGTGGAGTATAATGAGAAGACAGAACAGAATGCAGTGATCAGTGCAGGGCACTGTTTTAAGTAACCAGCTCCTTTTTTACCTTCATTGTGTTTACCAATGATTGTTCTTCCTCAGACCACTTTGATCCCTCTTTTCCTGGCCTTTCATCTTCCTGCAAGCATCTCATAGTAAGTTTTGTGCCGTACCAAAATGCTCTTCGTCTGAATCCAGTAATGAGTCATAAAATCATAGAATGGTGTGGTTTGTAAAGGACCTCAAAGATCATCTAGTTCTAACTCCCCTGCCACAGGCAGAGACACTTTCCACTAGATCAGGTTGCTCAAAGCCTCATCCAGCCTGGCCTTGAACACTTCCAGGGATGGGGCAGCCACAACTTCTCTGGGCAACCTGTTCCAGTGCCTCACCTCATGTTGAGCTTCTTATCAACCAGCACTCCCAAGTCCTTTTCCTCTGGGCTGCTCTCAATCCGTTCTCTGCCCAGCCTGTACTTGTGCTTGGGATTGCCCCAAACCACATGCAGGACCTTGCACTTGGCCTTGTTGAACTTCATGAGGTTCTCACAGGCCCACCTCTCCAGCCTGTCACGGTCCCTCTGGATGGCATCCCTTCCCTCCAGCGTGTCGACCACACCACACAGCTTGGTGTTGGGTCCCATGAGTCCTGTGCCTCTGGAGGCAGTAACCCCCTGTCAGGCTGTGAGTGGGAAGCTCTCCCTTCTCTGTAGCTGGTGAGTGTCACACCTGGGCAGGCTGGTGGCTCCTCTGGGGGAGCTGGGTCGGGGTGCTCAGTTTTCTGTGATTACCTTGTTGGGGCTTCTCCCCTGTTACTGTTCCTCCCTGTGCTTCTTTGTGTTTATGGAGATGAGCCTTTAGTCCCATAACCTAACAGTTTGTGTAATGGAAAGGTGGGACCATTTACCTGCTAGTATTAAGTCATTTGTGTTAAAGTGCATTGATGCCACCAGTGCTTTAGTAGGTTAATTGTTGTAATGGGAGGTACTTAGATGGAAGTTTAGATAAACTGGGAGGTTAGGCTTTTCTGGTGGGAAGATCTTTGCTTCAGCACTAGCGCAGTTACTAAACCCAAAGGATTTAGACATTTGTGAGGTGGTTGAGACCCTAAGGATGCTGCAGTACAGAATTGTACTTCTAAGTGTAGTAAATCAATGGAGTGAGATACTGCATGTATGAACTGCTTAATAAATTATGCAGTTTGGTCTATCAGAGGGCCATGTTTAAAGGGTGTTTTCTTGGGAACTACCTCAGAATGACAGCTTGTCTGCTAGACATCAGGATCTGCCACACCAAAGGGATTTCAAGTAACAGAAATGCATGAAAAGATTTTCCTTTTTAGGGAGCTGCTTTGATTTTTCAGGAAGAAAAACCGCCAACCCTTCATTTTGATTTTTGTGTAAACCTGTGGGTTTTTTGTCCTGCTGTTAGTGTGACAGGTCAAAGCTGAACTCAGTGAAGTAAAGAGTGTTAGAACTCCCACATAAGCTCTCCGTAACGTGGTTGTCAGTGGAAGCCTTTGTGAAATACCCTACGTTGTTTATAAGTCTTTCTTTGCGGTATGGCATTTTATGATGCAGTAAAGAAGTGAGTATGATATATTGCTTAATTGATTACATAGGATCTATACAAAACATTTCACTTGGAGTGTATTAGCTTTGTATCTAATAGAGAATTAAGAAATCATGAGTTGGAAGAAGCACTTTTCCTAAATTGTAGGTCACCTGGTTTTGTACCATCCTTAGTAATGTATTCTGCAGGGCTACAGACAATGTGGCCCTGCAGAAAAAACAATGAAGAGCTAAGTAGTCATTCCAGAGTATTTTTTTTTTTTTCAAGATTAGTTGGTGTTTAGGAAAAAAAGTGCATATAATTCAAGTTTAATGGTAATATTTTTATTTTTCTTAAAGGAATTACCTACAGTTCTCCTTACTCATCAGATGGATGGGCATGAAGGTGCATGGACAATATTACCATTAATGAGAGAGTAAGTGTAATGAATTCCAGTTATTTTCAGAATTTTTTGCAACCAAGGATATAACTATTAATTGCTGAGACCTCTTTTTTCAGAAGAAAAGTTTTTGAATGAGTTGCAACCTTATCTTTTCACTTTCTTGCTCTTCTTTTTTAGTTTTCCAAAGCAATTTTCTGTTAAATTTCATTAAATCAGAGAAAACAATTTTAAATAAAAGAACAACAATAGTATAATGTAACTGAACAACTGCCTTCTTCGAATTATCATGACTTTTACAATTATTAAGGAAGTAAACTAGTCAAAAGAAATACCATGATTTAAATGAGTATTTTCCTATTTGGTCCCCACTTCTTACAGTGTAAGGTGTGAGGTATTTCAGAACTTTTGACCTTTCAGGTTACTTGGCTGAATGAAATGGATAAATAATTTCTTAAAAATAGATAATAATACCTGGTTTGGGTTTTTATCTTTTTTTATAGTTTATAGTGTTTCTAAGAGGTGGTATGCCTCTGTAATGAAAAAGTATAGGTTTTGACATCTTTTTAGACGCTTATATGGCCAGTTTTCATCTTAGTATGGTCAGAGAAGACAGATATTCTCAAATATCTTTTCTTTTTAGCTTATGCAGATGGCTCCAAGGAAGACATGCTGCATTTACACAGCAGTATGTTGCAAACTGTTAGGAAGCAATGATTCCTATTTCAGAAAGTCCTAAAGCTCCAAAAGTACTGAAAGCTATCCTTTGCCTAAAACTTGCATTTGAAACTGATGCCAGAGGCTCTCCAGTCTCTTGAGGTTTAATTTAGTTAATATAATTCGTTAGAGTTACTCAAAAGGGTGTTTTTGTTTTGGTTTGAGGTTTCTGCATCAGACTGGTGACAGGACAGGATGCTTTTCCCTCTTCTGCTTTCCATTGCTTTCTCTGTGTGTAGAAACATGAAAACAGTGCTTGGATAGTAGGTATCTTTGAGATACATGTAAACTGTGAAAAGAAGCAAAAGGAGAATTAAAGTAAATTGAAAAATTGGAAGATGATGTTCCAACTATCAGTCATCTTTGTTTTTCGTTCTTAGCTCCTGTTTCAATCACTTAGTGGCTCCTCTTCTGAATTATTTATGTGTTGATGACAGGGTTTACAGATACAGCTCTTAGAAGATAGCAAAACTCAGAAGCAAAAATACAAATGCTGGTTTGTGCGATAAAGCAGAAGAAAATTCTTCAGAAATCAGAAGGAGTCTTCAGTAGAGGATTTCCATCTTGAAGAGAATTCTAGAATATGAAATTCCTGGTGTCTGCTACTTCACTTACCACTTTTGGCAGAATGAAGATGTGGAGTAGTTCAGAAGTATGTAGATGTTCTGAGGCTTGTACTTTTTAGTTTTTTCAATGGACAGAAGAGGAGAAGGGTAGACTGAGGGGTCAGCCTATTCTGCAGCAGCTGACGATGCTAGGATTTGAGATGCATTCTTATCTGAAAACTGCTTTCAGAAGAATGGCTTCCCTCAATTCTTTGGTTGTCAGCATTTTAAAGTAGGCCTCTAAACAGTTATGACAATTCTTAAGTTTTAGTTCTTGAGCACAGGCTAACTTGGACAAAATACTTCATTTCAGAAGATGTTTCCAGAAGGCCCACTGTGTTTCTTTTCAGTAACCATGTTCATCAAGCAGAGAAGAAATCTCTTTTTTAAATTACATAACCCTGAAACCAGATCTTACCTGAGTATCTCCAGTGGCTCCTTGCAATCTGAACTCCAAATTTGTGTGCTACAGAGGACTCTGTGCAAGCCTAAAATACTCAGCCTTGAAAATCATTGTTTCTCCATCGATAGCTAGATGAACAAATCATTCTTTTTCTGAACTTGTATGTGCTATGTTCACAAGGTACAATAATTCTTTTTCTGTGGATCATTCTAGTGTTTTTCTCCTTGTCCCTCACCCCCCTGCTTTTGTGTAAATCCAGATATTTCTCTCCTAAAGTTCGAGCTGAGAACTAAAGTGTGAGAGAAAACCCTTCAGTCTTCACAGGGCATTGAATACTGTACGTATTTAAAAACATGTGGGTATCTGATACCCTTTCTGTACTTGTTTGTCAAGTTTTAGAAGAAACAGCTAGGAAGTGTCTTTCCCAGCTGATTGTACCCTGTTTACTTGCCTGAATGGCAGAGAGTTGCCCAGATTTCAGTGTTGAGTAGACAACAAATACATGCTTTTATGAACTAAAAGGATGAAGGAATTGTGAGTTCTTCTGGCCATTATAGTTTAGCAGATTGATTATTCACCACTTTCTGCTTATGATACTTAAATACCATTGCGAGACTTGGAGGAAAGGTCGCTTTATAGGAACATGGTTTGTCCCAAATGAAAAAAAGGCTGAACTAGTTTAGTACCTGGCAACTGTCTGGTGCTTCTAGCATGTAATTAAAAGACCTGCAGAGGCAGGTATCACATGTTCTAGCATAAGTATTTCTTAGATAGTGGGTTGGAGTTTTGGGGTTTTTTTGGTTTTTTAGGCAAATACTGTTCCCTAAAACATAAATGATTCTATCACTCTTTTTTACTTATTTTTGCTGACTTATTTCTGCTGTTTCTTTTCATTGCTGATATTATCAGTAGATAAACTGTCTGCAGGGAAAGAAATCTGTGATGTTTATAGGTGCTAATATTCTTATCCCTCTCCTCAGATGATTTCTTTAATTAAATCAACGTAAAAGCTATGCAAAGGAAACTAGACAAGTGACAACTGGATTTTTTTTCCATTAGGATGTAATGAATTAATAAGGCTTTGTTTTGTTAAGTAGTGGAAGAATTAAGCTGGGAGGAATAGAGAAATAATGAATGAGAATTTTCTGAAGGAATCAGGAATCCTGCATTGAGATTAGTGTTAGCTTTGAGGAAGGTAGAGGAGTCCCTTCAGTCTGTGTACATTCACTGTGCTGGAAAAGGTAACGAGGTTTTTAGGCTGGGGATGATCTGTGTCAAACAGTTATGAGAAAACCTGTCATTAGGCATTTCCATGATTGTTGCAGTGGTGTTAGATGCCCAACAGTGAGGCTCCTTGGAAGAAGGTTAGTATACAAAGGGGAAGGTAACTTCAGCTGGTATCTATAAACCTCTGAATTCACAGGTGGCTATTAGACTTGTAGTGCCTATACATTTCTGAGTGGACATTGTTTATGTATCTCTTCTCCCTTCTTCCTGGGATAACTGGTGCTATATAAATAGATAGTAGCAGAGGCAATGTCTTTATCCATTCACTGTAGTTGTTTGATACTTAACTCTAAGTTAGTAGTAAAAGTTTTTGTTCCTGTGTAAATGAATACTTGACTGCAATTATTTGGGGAATGCGGGTTGAATTTATCATTCTGTTCATAAGTCAGTTTATTAGTAAAGTCTTAATGTCTTTTGTTAGCTTCTCTGTTACCTATGGTAGGAATTCGTCATGGATTTTCTTCTGTGAAGAAGACACCAGAATACAAGTTGTAAAGCTGCTAGAAACACTTGGAAGATTTGACGGGTCTAAGGTGAAATAAAAATTTAGATATTTAACTTTCTTTTGAATGTGCTTGAATGGGTTTTTAGATGAAACTTGGAATTATTTTAAGTGCTTGGAATTATAAATACAGAATTCTAAAATTCCTAGTTACAGAACTGTGGTCCAGAATTTAATTTTATAACACTACCTGGATATCTCAGAGCTCCAAACATTGGAAAAGGTGTATCCAAACAGCTTAAAATAGGGGGATAGATTTCTGTTGCTGAGGCTGAGAGTGAAGCAGTATGAGTGCCTGCTGTTGAAGAATTGTTAAAATTGAGCAGAGAAAACATTCCTTCTGTGGATATCCTGAAAATGATGTAGCATCAGTAAAAAGATGAATATAGTTTGCTGTGTGGTCCCTTCTCCCCATTTTCCTGTCTGTCATGAGTTCTGACTATCATCAGACAGAATGACTGATGTTAGTTTGACTGTCTCTGATGTAACACAGTGGAGTATTTTATTTGCATTTTGTTTCTGAACTGTCTTGGTGATAAGACAGTTTTCTTTATCTGCTGGAAAAGACACAATACCAAAAGACTTGCAGAACAAAAGAAAAATGCAGCCACTGGGGAACAAAGTAAATTTGGCAATGCAACTGACACAACAGCTGTTAATGTTTTGAATTCTCTGCATTCAGAAGAAAATTCAGCTTGATGTTCATCCTTTGCCTGGATTAAAGAAGCCAAAATCTCCTGTGAGAAATATGTTTTGCCTCTTTATGGCTGCCTTGACTGAATATTGAACTCTGCTTTGGGTCTCACTTTGGCATATTTACTTCTTTTGCAGGCACATGGCCTTGTCATGTTTTTTTCACAATTCTTTTCTAAAATGGTAATAATAATAATTCAAAGGTCTTACATTTTTAAACACTCTGTCTTCAGAATGGCTGACTGAATATATTCAGACCTTTGGAATATCCATTTATTTCTGTTTCAGAAACACCTACTCCTAATTGATATTCTTAGAATAAAAATGTAGAAATTCTTGTTCCCGATGCTGCCCTTTGCATTACATGTAAATTCTATTACAATAACAAACTATTTTCCAACCTGCATTAAAAGGAAAATAAAATCTTTTGCTTTTGTACATAGTAATCGTCACCTTAGTGTAACAGTCCATAACTGATTCCTTATATAGAGTAATAGTCCATCAGTCATAAAATTTAAGATGAGTTAGACCAGAATGAGCTCATTCATTATTAATTTTAAAATGTCATCAGCCTGCATGATAAAAAGCTGGTATACATTAATCACAACAAAAGGTCTGCAAGGGGCAAGCGAATTAGTTGATGAATCTGCAGCTTTTCAGTCTGGATATGTAGAGATTAGTAACAGAACTATTGAGACCGAAGTGAGTGTAATGTTGAGTGAAAACAGACGTGTGAAAGCATCCTCAGAGAATGTGGAGAAATGTTAAAGAGAATGACCTGCATTGAGATAACCAAGGACATTATTGACTGCTGTAAAGCTAAAAGACGGTGAAGAATATCTGATTTATGTAAAGACCTCAAGGCAAGCACTCAGATGGTGAGTTAAACCTGAACATCAGGAAACACTTTTTTTCTATGAGGGTGACTGAGTGCTGGCACAGGTTGCCCAAAGAGGCTGTGGAGTCTCCATCCTTGGAGATAACTCACAAGCCATCCAGACATGGTCCTGGGCACCCTGCTTTATAGGTGGCTCTGCTTGCACAGGGGAAGTTAGACCGGATGATCCCCAGATCTTCTCTTCCTGTCATCCTAACAGGATGATAGATTACAGCCCCAAAGATATCCAGAATGAGTAAACCAAACTGATGGGCAGCAGTGACTTAGTAGCTGTTGATACCTAAAGGGTATAAAAGATCTGCCTATAAACCAGTTTGTCTTTGAGAATCATGAGCACTCATATGGTGGTGTGGTAAGACATAGTGAGGATGTGACAGCCGAAATGTCCTGTTCTCTGTGTCAGACCCAAGACCTGAACAGATGAATTTGGCACACTTGTCTTGGTATTTGTGAGTAAGTGGATACAGAAGTGGGTAGAATCAACTTGATTAGCAAGTTAGTTAAAGTCACCTCTGCCCTCCTTCAGGTCTGGTATTGAGTTTCATTGCATCTCTTTCCTTCAGCTATTAGTTTAAAGTGCTCTAAAGGCTTTGGAGTGCTCTTACTAAAGGTAGGTGATTTTTTCCATTTTTGAAGCACAATATATTAACTGATCCTGTGAATGGTAGTTATCCATAATGCAATAAATCACATACTTTTTTTTAATCCACTTTTTTTGCTTGTATGCAATTTGATTACCATCATTCCTTAAGTTACTTTATAAGTTTCTTTGCGTATAACTAATTTTTGTAAAGCCAACCTGCAGAGATTAACTTGTCCTACATTATCAGTGTGGTGAATAAACAATGTTATGACCAAATAAGCTTGGAGAGTATTGACTGTAACCTGGAATGCTTTCATTGTGATTTGTGGTGTAATATTGCCAGAAATAATATTATGTGAAAGCCTGAGGAGGGTATATGTATGGGTTTAATTTTCTGTGTTTTATAGAGAAAGGAAAGTAAGATTGTGGGTTTTTTTTTTAATCCATAGATTATTTTGGTGTAAAAATTAGCATGCAAAATTAGGAAAAGTAAAGATTTTTTTCACTCCATAGCATAACAAAGTGGAGGTCCAGAAAAAAATAGTCTGCAGATGATACTGTCATATTAAAATGCTACTATTTATTAACTATTTCTGAAACAGAATAGTGTGCTTCTGTCATGAACATTTTAAAGCCTTGGAGGCCCTAGAAAAGTTTTAAAATGGTGTACATAAATGCTTCTAAAGAATTATTTTGATTCTTTCAAGGCAATCATCTTTGTGCATAAAAATTAGAATGTTTGCTCGTTTTCTTTTACTTCCCAATATTTTGGTTTTTAATCCTTCTAGTGAACACTATTGAATCCTTCCAATAAAGGAAGGAGAAAACAGGGTCTGTTGTGATTGAAGGTATATATCACAGGCTGAATAAGTAGGTGCTAGGTGGCAACTCCTATGAAGGTGGTTGAAAAAATGGTGGGAAAAATCTTCACCCTTACCTTCTCCATGTATTGAGTAGTGTCAGTTTAACTTTGGCTCTTTCCTCAATAGATTCCTGAACACCTACCTCTCAGCCTCAGGAGGCACACGGGGATTGTGGGAACAAACAAGTTTTCAGCATTTGTGGTACCTGAAGAAGTCACTAGTCAACTACAAGCTATGTTGAATTTAGTTTTATTGAGAGTAGCTGATCAAAGTAGAGGGGAGAAATGTGCGGAATTCATGGGAAGTGCACTCAGCACCTCACACAGGTGTCCAGGAACGTGCAAACCATGTTACACTTTCTTCAGTGTGTTGGAGAATAAGAGTTCCTGGCAGAGGTGGCATCCCATAGTTTTGATTGGCTGCTTATATGGGTCCTGACCATCCTTGCAGAGGTGGAATTCTTGAAGCAGGCAGCACCCCATAGCTTTCACTCAGTGTGTGCTTCAAGATAAGCATCCCTGGTAGCTCCTGGGGGCTGCCCTTTTATTGATTTTGGGCAGCCAGGTTGAGTACTGGCTGGAAGACAGAAGGTTGCCAGGCTGTGTCCTCTGGGGCAGCCACACTTACACACTCCTGCCAGGCTCAGCCAGTCGGTTTTGGCTGGAGGTGTCTCCTGGTGCATGTGGACCTCTCTTCTGCTGTTTGCTGACTGCCGCACCCTGGCCGAACCTCGCTCGTTCCTTCTCCTCAATTCAGCTACAAAATCTAGCTCGATCTATATGGCAACATCTGCTTGGACTTAGAAAGATGCCTACTGAGAAGTAAGATACTCTTGGGGTTAGATTCCCCCCCCACCCCCCACCCCAGATATTTCTACAGTACTTGTTCTTAAATGTTTTCTCTTTTGTCTTGAATTTTGTGTGAATTATTTATTCACCTCATGTCAAGTGTGTGAACTATGCCTTGAAGGAATTTTTCATTGTTGCTGACAACTGCCCCTTTAACGGGAAAAATCGAATATGGCAGTGAAAAAACAGTTGCCCTAACTTTGAATCTATTTTAGTGACGAACTTGTAAATTGTCAGGAAAAAGAAAAGCCTGAGTTACTGTCATAATGCAAAGAACTTCACACTTTAAAGATTTAATATAACGGAATTATTATATAATAATTCTGAATTAAGGTAATTCAGAATTCTGATTCATCATTTGTACTTGTAGGCCTGAAAAGCAATTTTAATATTATTTTTTTTATTGTATATATATATACACACACACATGCACACAAATTCTTTTTTCCTGTTCATTACAGCTGGAGTTCGAATAAGAGAGCTGCCTTTAGTTTCATTTCTTACCAAGTACAATTTTTGTCTGGATTATTGTGAACAATACGGTTCTCTTGTTTTTGTTTTCAGGTTTGCTTTATTCAGCATGAATGCAGTCATCATCTTCGCTAGAAGGATGCTGTAGATGAACAAAATTGTTTCCTATATTCCTTTGCAGGAGTGGTTTTTAGGTAAAGCATTATATGATGAAGAATCCACAATAATTCACCATTATGCCTTTGCTGAAAATCCTACAGTCTTTAAATTTCCAGATTTTGCTGCTGGTTGGGCACTTAGCATTCCACTTGTTAACAAGTAAGAATTGATTTTTAATCACTTCTTAATTGTTTATTGATAGTAATTAGCAGTGTTTAAATTATAAAATTTTTCTATATGCTAGTAAATATAATTTTAATGAGCTATGATTTCATATGGATTCATATTTTCTATAAAAGATGAAGGTGTTCCTGCAGTAGTTGAAGGTCTTACTGTAGATCATGTAGATATGCAAAGTCGAATTTTAATTTTGAGCTGTCTTTGAATTGAAGCTGCTGATTGCAGCAGACAGTTTGGGATGTACTCAACCAGTGCAGGCTCTCCTCTCAGCTATTTATGTGACTTCAGAGCCTACACTGAGCTCTTGCTGCTGCCACCTGTATTGTCAGCATCCATGCTAATACATGTAACCTGCTTTAGTTTGAGGATCTGAGGTGCACAGCAAGACATTCAAACAGGCACAGTAATGTACCACTAGCTCTGGGTATACCTAGATAGATTTGTGCTCCCACTATAAAGTTACCCAGAAAGTACTCTGATAAAGTTCCATTTCCTCCTTATCATACACGTTCTAGGCATAATTATTAGAAGTAAACACTCAAGAATTTATTAGTAGGCAAGGATACAGAAAGATATTTGTCATTACTGTGCATGTGTTTTATTTTGCTTCACTCTATCTAAAAGTTAACATCATCTCAACTAGGTAATAGTTATTCATACTAGTTGTTCAATTTGTTCAGTACCCTCTCTTGTCATTTTAAAAGTGTAATCTCTTCCAGACAGATGTTTTATTCCTGGATCTCAGAGTGACTGCATTGCCCTCTAGACTCTAGAAGTGCTTCTCTTATGCTATAGAGGGAACGTAGATCTTTATTTCAGATTAGATGCTTAGTTTTTAAATGAGATTGGAAAAGTTTATAGATTTCAGAAGTCAAATGCATCTTGCTGTAGCAAGGATTGATGTTTTCATACATTGAAGGTGCTTTGGAATACACAAAGAGAGAACATTGTCTGAAGTTTGAGATGCTGATCAATGTTGAGATTCAAACAGGCTGCTGCTTTTAATCTGTTGGAAATGTTATGCCAGACTGTTTATCTACTCCAGATGAGAACTATCTTCTTGGAAGGGAAGAATATACCAAAATGTGTGTGCTGAAAACTAATATTAACTTCATCACACTGTGTTCAGATGAAAAAAAAAATGATATGGAAAAGAAATATCAGTTGCTTCTGGGGCAATAAATATAGAAGTGGTTTTTATTTTTTGTTGTTTGGTTTTGGTTTTTTTTTCTTCTAAGATGGTCATTAATGCCAGCCACACTTTGCTGCATACACTAGTGATTGATTTACATATTTTTAATATGCTTTTTGGAGTAAATTTCTTCATCTTTGATTGTATAGGCTTGCAAAGAAGTTGAAAAGTGAACCACTCAAGTCAGACTTTACAATAGATTTAAAGCATGAGGTAAGCAGTGATGTGATGAAATAAAAAATTGTCTCAAATCTATATATTTGAATGATGATAAATGTTAATAGAAATAACAGATTTTCTTAGAAGTTGCTAAAAAGTTTGAGTGCAATGACGTTTATTTACCTTCCTTTAGAATATTATAACATGATACGTTAAAATTATATTTCAAGCATAGAAGAATTCATGAATAAAATTGCATTCGTATAGGAATACATACTTGGTTGCATATAGTGAGGTATCTTCTAAGGCTTGCTCTGTAAAGAAGGGAGACTTACAATCCATGAAACTTAAGCTGACTTGAATAGTATCTCAGATACTAGCCAGCTTCACTTACTTTCTGAATCAGACTCTTAAGAGCTAGATACGATGGACTTGGTTTCCTTGAGCTATTTAAACCAAACTGTTGTGTGAACGATCAACTCAGCAATTTGCAGCCTGAAATTATTTTTTTTTGGCCTCTGGTTTGCGAGAGTTTTAAAAGGTAGCTACTAGGTCTTTCAGAGAATAAGTGAGTGGACTGAAAGGAATATGAGAAGAAAGGAGTGGAGCATCTCTCTTATGAGGAAAGGCTGAGGGAGCTGGGTCTCTTTAGCTTGGAGAAGAGGAGACTGAGGGGGGACCTCATTAATGTTTATAAATATGTAAAGGGTGACCCATGAGGATGGAGCCAGGCTCTTCTCAGTGGCATCCAATGATAGGACAAGGGGAAATGGATATAAGCTGGAACATAGGAGGTTCCACTTAAACATGAGGAAGAACTTCTTCCCAGTAAGGGTAACAGAACACTGGAACAGGCTGCCCAGAGAGGTTGTGGAGTCTCCTTCTCTGGAGATGTTCAAAACACTCCTGGACGCGTTCTTGTGTGATCTAATCTAGGTGGTCCTGGTCAGGCAGGGGGATTGGACTAGATGATCCTTTGAGGTCCCTTCCAATCCCTAACATTCTGTGATTCTGTGAGATCTGAAAGATGACCAGTGAGACCTTTTCTGAAGCTTTTTTATTTTTTCTTTCAAAATGGGTTTTCTACTGGCACTAAAAGTCAACTCCTGAACCAGGGTGGAGGGGAGGATGAATCTGGAATAAGGTTGTTGATTTTGGCCTGAAATTATGAGTGATGTTGAATTCATTTTAATTTTCTATAACTCCTGAAAGTCAGCAATAAATTGTGGTTCTGGCCCAGAAAAAAAAAAAAAACACCTTACTTTAAACTACTGCTGCTGTTCCAGATCTTTATTCTGTAATGGTTATAAACCTCCTCATTTCCAACATAAATCCACGGTGTATCTATAGAGTATAAATTGATAGCATATTTAAATGAATTTGGCTTTGTGCCAACACTATTCTTTCACATTGTTTCCCCTTCTTGACTGATGTATTTCTCAAAAGCAATTTGACCTCTTTCAGCTTTCATTTTGCTACGTGAAACAAGCCAACAAGCTGTTTCTTTCCTCGTTAATTTTTCTAAATGCAAGCCTTGAGCTTCACACTGTTAATCTTCTTTTTATAAGTTACCTCAAAGTCATTTGTATATTCCCAGTATTCCAGTCTACCTACACTGACAAAGCCTCTAAACACATCATGAAAAAAAATAGTAATTCATTAGCAGATTTTTTTTTGTGTGCCACAAATTGCTTAATGAAAAACAATCGATCGTTCAACTGGCAAAATGACTTCCATCCACTTCTTATTCTGTTAGCAGTTCTTTGCATATGTTTCGTTTCAAATTTATTGCCATTGGTAACCTACTTCAGCCCTGTAGTTATTCTTTCTGCACAGTCTCATGTCTCCCTAGAGACAGTTCCATTCCCCCTCATTTATTTTATAAATCGCCATCTTTTCCGTCTTAAATCATTTTTATATCTACGTCCTTCTTCTGTGAACCAAGATTGACAACAAATCAAACGGTATAATCTGCGATCTTTAATGATTGTGTGTAATGTTTAAATTTATGAAGGATGATAAATGTTTTAAGAAATGTTTTAGTTTGACTGAGTCCTAATAACATGGGCCTCTAGTCCTTGATATTTTATTGTGCTCTGTATCAGGTTTTTCACACTCTACTACTTTCCAAGTCCCTGTCTCTCATATCCGTAACATTTATATCACTTTCCATCTGGAAGGCCCCTCTTGCAAATATGGTAAAGGCTTTTTTTTCATGCTGCTGCTCATTTGTAGCTTATTTTTTAGGCTTTTTGTAACTGCACAAAATATAGCATACTCCTTAATGCTATTCAAAACTGGAAGTGAATAATGGATTTTTGTGTATCTAACATTAGATTTCAACTAGGACTAAGTCTAAGAATATTTTTTGTCTTTTTATTGTAAATCCATTTCCATTGCTTTCAGAACAGTCTGTCATCCTGTTCTATAACTCAAAATGGCACTCTAACCTCCCTTCTGAAATATGGTAGCTTCACGCCATTCTAAGGCTTTCTATTGAAGATTTCATTATTCATTAGGAAATGTTAGCACATTATGAACTTTCATAAATAATTCATGTTAAGTTACAATTGTTAAATATTCTTTGTGCTGCAGGAGCATTGCTTCTTTGTTGGTTCACATGATAGACATTAATTCTGAATAGCTGAATTTTGAACTAATACAATCCTAAAATGTACTGGAAGCTCCTTAGAAATCCCATTTCTTGCTCTTATGTAGTCTTCCAGCTATAAGGCAGCATCAAGAACCACTCTCACATCCCATAATGTGAATGTGGTGACAAGGCAAAAAGGTAATGTTGGAGGTGTACATATGTTTATTGGCAGCTGCTTACCCCGAGCACATGTGTGTTGCATGTCATTTCCATACTCCTTCTCTACTCCAAGCACTATCAACAGTATTTGTCTTAACTGCCACTCATGCTTTTGCATTTTCTTCCCTACAGAGTGGCATTTCCCTTTAGTACTTCGTTGAATGCATCTGTAGTGCTAAGACCATCTGTGTTTTCAGAAGTGTTCCTAAAACAGCAAAGAAACAGACCACTTAACAATGGTGAAGCTAACAGAAATTAGAGCTTGCAAACTACACAACTCATTGTTGAATGGAAAGAACCTGCAGCTGAGTTACAGTGCTTTAGCAAGTCACTATCAGCTGAGCAATAGTAATGACCACGTTTGTACTCACAGCTCCCAGTCATCTGCATCCACTCAATTACAAGGAAAAATACAGTAATTTAAACTCTTTTCAGTGCAATCAAACTAAATGTTTTTACCTTGCAGTTGAAGTGGTCTAAGAGTGCCTGTGTAGTTATGACAGCCCAGTTACAATCAGCAAATTGCTAAAAAGTCATCAGTTAGTTGTGTTCTAGTACGTGGCTGTACCCTAGCTGTTTGCTATCACAAATCTTTCAAATCTAGAAGCTTAAGTTTCAAAAATATTATTGTATTCTCAGCCTGCCCCCAGTCCCCCTCTGCCTGTAACAAACTGGCCCTTCTGTTTTATTCCCTCTAAGTTCCAGAAATGGCTGTGTTCAGGGATTTTCTAAGGATGTTGAGACCTAAATGAGATGGACAGGAAAATAATCATCTATAACTGTCTGTAACTGGTTTGGTGACTTGGGCTTGTCCAGACCATACTTAAATGCTCTTGTTTTCTGCTGAGTTGACACTGGGGAGAAGGAAATATTTTGCCTTCTTAATAATAGCTCAATGATCACATTATTTGCTAAAAGAGGAGCTGAATTCTGGTCTGGGGTGAGAGCAGGGCTTAAAGCTAACAGTTCATAAGTAGGCATAAAACAGTGAAAAGGAGACTCTTTCATTGCTTTTGATTTGTGCTGGGTCTGGTCCCATATTCCAGTGAAGTACTTGTCTTCCATGTAAGAGTCATTGAGAATATGTGTAAATAACATGGGAAACAGAAACTAGAACCTAAGACTGATTTTCCTCCCTTGGAAGAGTCCCATTCTCCTTGTGCAGTAGTCAGGCTCCCCTTTGCTGCACTATCTTGTTGGTTCCATGAATCTTAACTTTTTGCACAGTAGCTTGGTTTCATGAGCTAGCATGGAGAGTCTTTGTTCCAGAATCATAGAATCATAGAATGGTTTGGGTTGGAAGGGACCTCAAAGATCATCTAGTTCCAGCCCCCGTGCCATGGGCAGGGAAACCCTCCACTACACCAGGTTGCCCAAAGTCTCATCCAACCTGGCCTTGAACACCTCCAGGGATGGGACATCCACAACTTCTCTGGGCAACCTGTTCCAGTGCCTCACCACCCTTGGAGGGAAGAATTTCTTCCTTAAATCCAATCTATATCTCCCCTCTTTCAGTTTAAATCCATTGCCCCTTGTCCTATCACTACATGCCCTGGGAAAAAGTCCCTCTCCAGCTTTCCTGTAGGCCCCCTTTAAGTACTGGAAGGCTGCAATAAGATCACTCCGAGGCCTTCTCTTCTCCAGGCTGAACAGTCCCAACTTTCTCAGCCTGTCTTCACAGCAGAGGTGCTCCAGCCCTTGAATCATCTTTGTGGCCCTCCTCTGGACTTGCTCCAGCAGCCCCATGTCCTTCTTATGTTGGGGACTCCACAGCTGAATGCAGTATTCCAGGTGGGGTCTCAACGAGAGCTGAGTAGAGGGGTCAATATATCTGTGGTTTGTTGGTGTGGGTACCCTTTTGAAAACTAGAAGCTGTGACTTCTGACTGAGGCAGAAGCAAACCTAGAACCCACATCTCCTGCATGTTGAGTATATGCTCAAACAGCTCTTGTCCAAAGATACTGTCACATCTTTGGTCTGTCCTCAAGAGAGACTAAGCATTCAGAACCGGGAGCGTATGGCAGTGCAGCTGGGAAGCGCTGGATCCACGTACTTGCTGAGATGTTATTTTCTGCCTTTTAGATTTTTAAGAACTTCATTTTGTTCTTACAAGTTTCTGAACAGTATTATATAAAGTGAAGTTAATCTTTTACCTGGTCTGAGGTAGGCAGCCAGTGTAGAACTTGCCTGCCTGAATGCTTAGTCTAGCAAAGTTACAAGCAGTGTAGAAGTATTGCAGTAGAAATATTGGACAAATCTAAGCGTTCTCGATGCATCATGAAGTACAGACTGAAATATTATTATTTTTGTTATGAATTTAATGTAATTTTATTTAATTTAATGTAATTAATTAAATAAATTTTAAATACAAAGAGGTTGGAGAGGTTTTTTTAATCTTCTTCAGACATTGCTGGTTTGCATCTTCTTTTTTCCCTGAAAATTCTGGCTGGCTTTTCTGTTGTTATTACATTTAAAATGGACAAAAGTCTTCTATAGGATAGCATATCTGTTACATTATTCTTCATTGTATTTTACAGCTTCTCAGAGTTTCATTACTGATTGTGAGCATTTTAAATAAATGTCACCATTTTAAATTGTCACCAGAAAATGGGTCTATTTTGAACAGCTGAAAATTGCGACATAGGGTGAAACAGGCCTACCTATTCCAACTTACCAAAATAATTTAAAAAGAGCAACACAATAAGAATTTTTGTTTACTTTAAAAGAAGGTGTAAATATTCACTCTACCACCTTTTGTAAAGTTAAAGATGAGTTGTTTTGTCATGCTTAAATATATGAAACTAATTGTAATTCTATGAAACAACTTTTAAAACTTGTCTATCTATAGAGTTTCTTTTATAGCAAAAAAGTTACATGTTGGCTTTAGAAATGTGAGCAAGAAGTAAGGTATGCAGCTAGTTAAGCAACTAAGAGAGAAGTCTTCTACAGCATCCCATATTTTTCAGTTTTTCTGTCAAGCTTGTCTTGTAATATGATTTCTTTGTATGCCCTGAGAATTTTTGTCCAGTTTCATTACTGATATAAATGTTTTCTATTTTGATAGATTGCCCTGTATATTTGGCAGAAAGGGGAAGGACCACATCTTACTCCAGTGCCTGAGTTCTGCACAAGTGATGTGAACTCGTATAAGACTGATAATTGTGCAACAACATTCAGTAATTTTCTGCCACTTTGTGTAAGTACCGCTTACCTTAGCAAAGGTAAACTCGTACTAAAATTCATAATACTTCACTTCAAAAATCTCAAACTGAAAGAAAATATTTTTCAGTAAGTTTAAAAAAAAAAAGTTTGTTCTGGCATTTATCTGGTTTTCATTATGCTTTCAGCCTTCCGTGGCGCTGAATATTTCCTGGCAAACAAATACCACATATGCGTTAATGGGTCTTTCTACCACAATGTTTAAGCAGCCCACAATCTATGAAGTATTTCTCCTTGCATTTCTGTGAGATACTGAAGTATAGATAATCTTTTCTCATAGATAGGAATCTAAAACTTGTTGAGGCTAAAGATCAAATGTAATATAGTATTTGATGCATTAGAGTGCAACTCATCTTTTCCATCTCTAGCAGAATACATTTATGATATTGTGGATTAACTCTTGCTAGAATCCAAAAAGTGTTCCATGCTTCCAGGAGAGTAAAGTTCTAGATGCCAAAAAAGAAAACAAATAAAAGTAGTTAAATGATTTATTACAGTTGAGGAAATTGGAAGATTTCTAGTGTGTGGCATTTAAGCTTCTTTTTCCAAGTATGATACAGTTCAACATGTTCTCATAGTGATTAATTTCAAAGAAATTAAGAAATCGTTCTTTTTCAGGTAAATAATTTTTAGTTCAGCAAGTTCTATCATCATTCTCTTTTCCTAATGATATGTGTTTTAGTTCATGTAAACATACTACATCAATGGAAAAAGTATTTCAATAATATTATTTCAGGAATTTTAAACTACTAATGGCCTTCTTTCAAGAGACAAAAATGTACTTTCAATTGTATTACTATTACACTATTCTACTTGATACACTATACGATGAAAAAGTATTTTCTGTTTTATTATATATATGGCCATACTTATTGTAAAAAATGTTACAGGCAGAGCCTGCCATTAAAAAATCAATTTTTGTTCTGTTCATGTAGGGAGAGCCAGTGAAAAAGGAAGATGTTTTTGTTGCTGTAAAAACATGCCGGAAATTTCATGGTGACAGAAGTAAGTTGTTGATTAGTCAAGGTAGTAGTTCTCTGCAATATAGTTTATGAAAATAATATCTAAAAACAAGCTGATATATGCTTCTGTGTAGCTCATGGGACTAAATATTTGCAAAATGCACTGGGAAGCATGAAAGCTTCAGAATTGTAAATGGCTTATTCTTTAGATAATTTTTTTTTTCATATTCAGAGTCTTCAGGAGCACTATGAAATATTTAAGACAAAAAGTTGTAGTTTGATGTTTCATCATTAGTGATTGGTTGGCAAAAATCTTGAAACTGAACGTCTAACCGAAAAATATGCATAAAGTTAGCATATATTGATGTAAATTGGAGCTGTTGCAATATTAATAAATGTAGCAGTTATTAATATCTTCAGTGTGTTTCCCCCAGATAATTGGTTCAGTTCTGTTCCTTCTACTAGCAGTGATAATTGTGCAGCTGTATTTAGAAATTTGAGCAAGCTGAAAGCTCTCTCCTCTCCTCCTTCCTTTTGTCCTGCCCTCCCACCCAATAAAAGATTGAGCAGCTTACACTGTCGTATTGCTTTTATCTGTTCTCACCCTATACAATTGGATGTGCACAAATGTTTTATCATGCTTGGAATTAGAAGTTTTGTCTCTTGTAGAAATCCAGTCATCTGTAGTACTTTGTCCAAGCCATGGCCCAGATCAGGAGTCTCCAAGTGTGCAATGCTATAGCATGATTCATCTGGAAATTGTAGTGTTATACAAGTAATGAAAGTCACCATGAAAACATGACCATGATATCCATGGCAAAAATAACAAACAAGTAAAAATTCCAAATCCACTCATTTAAGATGCTCTGGCTACTTGATGCCACCTACCAGTCCATTCTAGTTTAGTTCTGGACATATTGTTAATAAGGAAATTCAGGAATGGATTTATTTCCAGGCATTTACGTGAATTTTGTGTGCCCTTGAATACTCCGGGTACGCAATGCTGTCACCATTAGGCTTACTTTATTCATAAGCTTAAATTAAAGTGATTACTATTGGCAAAAAAAAAAAAAAAAAGAAAATTAAGTAATGACTAGGAGTTGTACCAAATTTTGAGGGGTTTTTGCCATGCCTATTGTTAGTGGACAGGATGAAGATAAAAGCTCTTTTCTTAACCAAATCTCCCTTTGCTAATGCATCCAAAACTGTAGGTTCTGTCACTTCTGTATTTAGACTGTTTTCCAGTTGTTGTTCTTTTTTTTTTCAAAATAAAATTTATGTAATTTTTTTCTGAATATTACTGCACTTGATGAAGATGCATTTCCAGTATTTTAATCGCCTAATCATTAGGATATCTTTAGCAAGTAGCTTTTGACAAAACAAAATTGACTATCCTGTAATTGGAGTTCACTGAAGAGTTCTCCTTTCTGGATCCATGTTTATTTTCTTACATCAAAATCAAAATTAAAAACCCAAACAAACTAGAAAGTCAGTAAAGAACATAAGGCTTCAAAAAGAAAGCATAAACATCCTTCAAGAAACACCTGTTGAAGACTGAGGAAAATTCTTGAACTTTCCTCACAGCTTCCAGTGTTATGCAATAGAGGATAATCTTACTCAAGATTTTGAAAGATTAATGGGTGCCAGCTTCAGAGAGCTCCTTTTACCTGGTAAGTCATTTTTAATTGTATGCCAAAAACTACATAAGTGCAACATTAAGGCTTGGAATTTGATGTGCAAAACCTGCTAAATTTCACTTCCAAACTTACTCAGATATTAGTCTCCTTCATACACATATTGTATATGGTTATATAAGAAAATTTCAAGACTGCAAACATGCATCACTGTTCTAGAAATAGCACAAATAAAATACAATTGAGAGCTTAGAGCTGATCTTCCATAAGTATCTCTGTAGTGCAGTATGAAAAATTCCGTGTGATCACAGGTATTACTACATATTGACAAATATTTGCATTAACAGCTAGTTGGAAGTTTCATATAGTTGTTCTTTCTTTGGAACATAGGAGTTATAGGGTTTACAAAGTATTAATGGGCTTCAGTTTTCATTAGACATTAGTCTGGATGGTGACGCTTCCATCAAAACAAGCAAGGAAAAGAGAAAGACACTTCAGCCAGTAGCCCCCTTGTTAGACCACTTAGCTGAGGTGAGACTCAGGACCTTGCTTCAGTGAACTTTTTTCATTTGTACAAAAAAGGAGGACTCCACTGAAGAAAGTGAGAGGCTCAGTCCAAAATAGCAGATAGTTCTGTATGTTGAAGCACCCTACTGAGGTTGAGGTCCTTGGTTGGAGAAAGGTGAAACGGTCTTCACAGGCGCGTCTCTTCTGCCACGTGTGGGTCGGAAGCGTTTCATACATCTGTGATGCCTCTGTACTGGGGCCTTTCCGAAAGCTTTCTGATTTTGTTTTTCTGAGAAACACTTTTGAAATAGAATATTTCCACAACATAGAATAATTTCCTCCCTACTTGGGTTTTTTATTTCATTTTGGAGGGGGGAGCAGGGAGGAAGTTTACGTGGCATTCTCTGTCAATTAATGCATGATTATGCAATTATTATATGACGTAATGTGATGACTTAGTACATGGGAGGTAGAGTTAATATATTGTGAAATTCCTGGCTTTGCATTTCAAAACTCCACTGCCATACTGTATGAACATATTTTGTGTACATAATTCCCTTTGGATTTTTTAATGCAAAAATTTGAGAGCAGTTTTGAGTGTCTAAAACTTTTAAAAGCAGTATTGTCCATTGCACAACGCTACAGAAGTGGAATTACATTTTTTGCAAGTATTAAAGCCTTTCCATTAGTGCATTAAGTTCTTGTTACTCTATCCTAACAGTCACCTTTCAGTTCGTTTTAGTCTTAACAAACTGACTATTGGTCAATCAACAATAATAAATGCTACGAGTCCCTGTGTGATCAGAGTAGAGGCAAGTGAGCCAAGTAGGTAGGCAGCAAACGTCAAATTAGGTGATGGATGATTCCAGCAGGGGGCTAAAATGAGTTGTTCACAAGCAGTTGAGTAATATAGCAGCAAACAGAAGTTATATAAATCAGCAAACAGAAGTTATATAAATATTTCCCTCATTTGAAGAGCTAACTACTACAGATGAGACCTACTGGGTGGTGTCAAAGAGCATAAAGCAGACAAACAATCACAGCGGAATGTGTGATGTTTCAGAGTAGTTGTTAATCTAAGTCCTGACCACTTAATTTTTAAAATGGAAAAAAAATAATTGATTTTAATCTGATCATTCTCTTCCAAACACTCTGCAGGTGTTTGGCTTTTTTTTTGTGTTACCCATAATTTATTCACTTCTGGATATTACATTTTTAGCATCGTTATTAGATTTTTGTATGATCGATTTTAAATGTTTTTGTTAAATGGCAAACAGAAGAAAAAGATTGCTCTTGTAGGGAAGCGTTAAAAAATCCTCTTTTGGAAAGAATCTCCATGAGATAAAAATTGGTTATATTATACTTATAAACGTCCTTCTCTGAGTGTGTCTCCAGAGACAGCGTTATCATGACCTTGCTGTCAAATATGATGTATGTAACACAAGCGTAGTATTTCAAAAGGTGCATTTGGTCTGTTTCTGATTCAGAATATTTTAAATGCTGTGTAGTTGGATGTGCTGTTTTTAAAATGTGATAGTTTCAATACTGGAGGAATGATTGATCTCTGATAGCGTTCGTGCTCATGTGTGCTGTAAAGTCTGACATAGCAAGTGTGAAAATAATGAATTCCATACTTTGGTTAGCATAAATGTGAACATCACAGTTTTCAGCGTAATATGAATGAAACTATAGTCATATTTTAAAAGATAATTTGTTACTATATAAATAAAACTGCCCTGACTGGCTCTCATAAAAATGTAAAATTGTTTCTCTCTAAATATTGTAGGAAAGAAAAAAGAACGAACATTTAGAACCGTGATGCTGTGTTTGAAACAGCATTTTCATCACAATGTGAAGGAATATGTCAGTTAACAAGGTCCATAAATGTTTTGATCAAGTACTTATTTTAATCAAGTCACTCATGTTTCGTTGTCAATGATTGTTTTACAGTACCAGTTGTAAAGGCGACTTGGGAAAGAGAAGCTGCCCTTATTGAATACTACAGTGATTATGCAGACATCTCCATTCCTACTATAGATTTAGGTGTACCTAATACTGACAGAGGTGAGCTTTTGACTGTTGTGGTGGTCAGTTTTGCACAAATAACTGTCTAAAGATGGCAAGTTTTTTGATATGTCTGTTTTGTGTATACTATATCATTTATAAATTCTGTATTTCTGTAGAACGTTTGTACAGCCTAAACTAAAGGAATGCTTTTGTCACACAGGAAATGGATGGAGAGTACAGCTCATCCATGTAGGTAGAATGTTCTTTTTAGCAGAAACTTAAATACTGAGAGCATAAAAGCACGGTACACTGATACACTCCAAGAGACAAAAAATGGAGTTATTACTCTTTGTAAGAGTAATAACTCTTGAGTAAGATCATCAATAGTAGCAGAAGTCATAGATTTATATCAAAAGACCTCAAACAGTGCCAGCTGGTTACTGAGCATTAACTACTTGCCATATGGTATTCAAATATTATATGCTTTTGCCTAGTATGTCTTGATTTAAGCAAAAAAACTGAATGTTAATATTGGAAAATCTTTTTATGACAAGTAATGTGATTTTAAAGTAATTTACTTTGTGTTTGAATGGAAGAAAAAAAAGCTATGGATATGATGGTTTCAGAGGCAGAGAGAAGACAGGCAGGGATTTCCATTTGCGTAGGAGCAGTGTGACATGTGCAACCAGTGAGTGTTTTCAGGAGGGAGCAGACTTGCCGGGCATGTGTGGATCATCTGTAGAAGCCATGTCCAGTAGTTCTAGTCATACCAGGAGGAGGGGACCTTCCACGTTCAGCCTTTGAGCGCTGCTGTGGGGAGCAGTGGCACCTGTGTGCTGCTGCCATTCTAAACTAAACAAATGGTGCCGAGTTTGCCCTAATACTATTTTTGTCCATCTTTCATGATGGAGTATAATATAGAAATCTTAGTTTTAATTTTAGTAAATGTTCCTAAGTCAGTCTGCATTAAATTGATGGTTTGTCAAAGTCAGCAAAGACTGGACTTCCTTCATTTCTTAAGCATACAGTTACTGCCTTATCTCAAAAAAAAATATTAGCTGGAAGTAGCTTCAAATATAGTATCCTATCCTTATTTTTTTAATTCTTGTTTAGTAATTGTAATATTGATAATGATAATTGCTTTAGACAATCAGCTGTAATCTAGATGAATAAAGACTGTTTGCAATTAGATTTTTCTGAGATCTAGAGAAGATTCAGTAAAAGTCTGAAACTTGTTTCTTTTGTCCTGCTTATTCTGAGTAATGGTTTTTCACTTCTCAACTCCTAGTAATAAAGGGTGCTTTATGTCTCGACTTCATTATAGTCTCATGACGAATGTAAAGACCTTTCCTTGGAGGAAGCTATCAGGACCTGAGTTACTTATGATGAGTGTGGTAGATTAATGTAGACTTAAACATCTATATAAAAGCCATGGACCTGCCTGATGCATCATGAAATGCTATGGAGTATTTTGCAGAACATGTTTCTATCATAGTCTCCTCATGTTTTGGTTTTAGAAATTAAGACTAGCAGTTTGCCCAGTATTGTCCAACAGCTTAACAGAATAGCTGGAATATAGCTTAATTTTCAGGTTTCCATAATGCAAAGAATTTCCATACTTCAACATCCTTGGAAAGTATGTTCCTGCACAGAGAGCAATGATTGTGTTGGAACAATTTGTACAAATACCATTCAGCACAACGAAGGATGTAATTTAAACTTGTGTCTCAAATCTTTTGTCGGTCATTTCCAAAATGTTTTGCACAGTGCAGTAAAATATTTATTTAATTAATAATTGTTTATTACAAAATCTCATTTTATTTAAATGTATATATTCTGTTATTTCTCTTCCTTTAGGTCACTGTGGGAAAACTTTTGCCATTTTGGAAAGGTTTTTGAATCATAACTCTCCTAGAACTCCTTGGTTAGTCATAGTGGATGATGATACACTGATAAGGTATACATTGCAATACTTCAGGAATTACCATTGTTCATGTTAATAGGAGTTTTAACAATTTTCATCCTTTGTTCTATATGTAAGAGTGTTGTGGTTTAACCAGTTAAACCATGACAAACATATGTAGCTGGTTTATTAGTTGCGTAGCTTTACATTTCTTTAAGGAACAAATTGTCACTTTTCTTCAGCATTCCTTGACTGATACAAACAACGATGTAATCTTGTAACTTGATAAAAACTCTGCATATTAGTGTTATTATGTAATCATATAGTCTGAATACGATTACACGTTGTGATTCTTCAGTGTGGATATGCCTGAGCTGATTGGGTTTAGTAATTTTATAATACACTTTCTAAGATGTATTCCTCACATAAATGTGCCAGAAGAAAGGTTCCATGGGCTAGAGTCAGTTGTCAGAGCCACCCAGAACAGTGTCCAGGGACTTACCTTTGTTAGAAAATTAGATCCCATTCACATGAAAACTGACACTATAGAATAAGCAAAATAAGGCACAGTGATCAACCAGCAGGGTCACATGGTCATGAATATGAGAATAAGTGGTTCAAGACAATACTTTATATTAAATCATGTGCAGAAGAAGAATTTGGAAGATGTTTTAACTGTAGAAAAAGCAATATCCGTATAATTAAATCTACCTTTTGTTTTTCAATTCCTGAGGAGAAAAGATCATTTGCAAAGATCTTACCATTGTTTGGAAAAAATAATTTCATGTTTTCTCTGAGATAAGACTCAGTTTTGCTGAGAAACTTCGCCTGCTTCAGAAAAATATTTTAAGCTAATCGATTCATCGTTTGACCAAGTTGAGTGGTCATATCTTACAGTAAATAACCCATCATAAATTTCTGTTTAAAAGTTTGTATCTCTATTTTTGTAGAATTTCTGAATTTCTCTTTTTGTTTTTGTGCTATTTACTAGAATGCCATTTAGGCTAGCAATATCTGTTTCAAAATGAATGTCTACATGATTTTTATTTTTTTAAAATGGATTTTGATATTGCAGTATCTTCAGACTCCGAAAATTGCTCAGCTGCTATGACCCAAATGAACCAGTATTTCTTGGAGAGCGTTACGGTTACGGCTTGGGAACAGGAGGATACAGTTATATCACTGGCGGAGGAGGGTAATTTATTTAAACTCCTACTGAGATCTATGTCAGTCCCTGCTTTGAATGCAAATGTTTTAAATTACAACACAAACTAGTTTCAACAGAAACAGTGATGTTTCCTAGTATGATTAAAATGTAATGATGCTCAAAGACCCAAACGTCCTGACTAGTAAGAAGTTATGCTGCCCGTTGGGAACAGATTTGTACAGTAAAACAGTTGGTGCTGAGGACCATGCATGTTTCTGAGGGGGTCATTTTGGCTTGACCAGTCCTGTGAACTGGGTGCCTGTTATCAGTTATCTGCATGTTCTCCTGATACACTTCATGCAGCCTCATTTCATCCGACAGAATTCATGCTATATACTCAGAGACTATCTTACAACTCAGAGATTCAAAGTGCAGTAAGCAGAGGCAATTGAGATAGTTGCTTAAAAAAGTAAACTCATGATCTGAAGTGTTGTGGAGTTTGTAGAACCCAAAGCAGCACACCTGTGGATAAAAATTGCTGCAATGAAAATATTTTTTCCTGTTCTCTTTCTTTGTCCAAGCATGGAGAAGAATTATAGTAATTCTCCTTCTGTTTTTGAACTTCATGTGATGATTTATGGAGAGGTGACTGAACAAGTTTGATGTTGATGTCCTGGAAAATAGTTTCTCATAGAAAAAGATCATTGTGGTTTAATCTCATGCATGAGACACATAGGTCTGTGTGATTATATGCAACATTTGGTTTAAATCAACATGAATATGAACTGTCAGGTTGGCTTATATTGCAATAAGAACAATCTTAAGACTCTCATCTGTCCATCTTGTGTGTCTAAAGCAAGTAGTGTGGAATTCTGACTGTCCTTAGTGTCTTTCTCTGTGGAAAGTAATGGCTATATTAACTTACAGATTCTTATCCATCCACGAGTAAGTAGAAATCAACTGACTGATCTTCTCATTATTTTGTATAGTTGCATAAGATCTTACTTAAGTAGGGTTTATGCTTGAGTTAAGAAACAAACCTTCTACTTGTCCTGATATGTTTATTGATTTCCGGTCCTATACTTACATGTCTTTGTAGTGCTTATCTCTTAGTTTCTCTTCTGTCATCTAGATGTGGAAGTTTGGGGGTTATTTTCATTCTCAGATTTTAGCAGATAGAGGCACAGATCATGCATCTTGCTCTGTACCCTAATTTTGAGAAAGTTCGTTGTAAGTGAAGAATTTTATACAACTGAAGGGACACAGCCCAGATAAGCAGCCAGCAAGTATTTCTCCAAATGTGTGCAGTTTACATCACACCTTCTGTGTAGCAACACATGCTGGTCACAAGTCCCAAATCTTTTTTTTTTTTTTAATCCCTCTCTCTTCTTTATTTTTTCAAGGCTGTAGTTTATTATTCCTTCTCTATTTTATCTGAATACTGACATTTGACTTCCTGTCGTGCTCTCCATTTTTTTTTCTTTTTATGATACATGCGGTCTTCAAAGTTGAAATGTTAGTGATGGAGTCTTTCACAACTTTAATCTGATAATATCTCACGTCAGTCTTTTTGCCTTAGCCTTGGTATTTGTAGAAGTTTTGCCATGTCCCAGTGTCAAGCAAAGGATTGTCATACAGTGAATGAACTCATGAAGCCATGTAGTGATTTCAGTGTGAATCTGATTAGTATGACTTGTAGTAGCTAGAGTACCTTGCATTCTGATCAGACTGGGTGGATGATGTAACTTCGGAAAAGGCAGCTATGGAATACTAGACAAGAGTAAATTCCCTCACTTATTGAATTTAAGACATCATCATGTTTCTGGTCTCTTGAAGACTTATTTTAGTGATAATGATCTAACAGCTCCAGGTTCTGGTTATTATTTAGTTGAGCAAGAAAGTTAGGATGAACAGAAGAGCCTTACAATGCCTTCAAGGAACATTTTTCACTTACAGAGAGAACAGAGGATTCAAGGAACAACAGATCAGGTTTAGAGGTCTTTTCATTTAATTGCTAAATGATAACTAACTGGACCATACCTTTGAGTAAGATAGAGGAGAATATCCCTTTGAAGCACTGGCCAAATTTAGGAGGAATTATCAGCTGTGGTAAAGCTGGGGGCTAGCTAAGTAATGGTTGGAATAACAACAATTGGCATAATTGGTGTAATTAATTTTCACTATATAAAGCAATTATCTTTCAGAAAATGCCTCTTGCACTTCTTGTCAATACTGACTTCTCAAATTTTGACATTTCAGATATGTTGTACCAGAGGGCTACATTTTTTCTTGCAGTCAAATGATACTTTTGTATCATTTAGCAATATTTATTAATTACAGTCATTTGGCTTCTTTAGTAGTTATTCTGTTATATGTTTCATTTGCTCTTTTTATTCAGGATGGTTTTCAGCAGAATAGCTGTTCAGAAACTACTTGCTAGCAGATGCCGGTGTTACAGCATGGACGCGCCTGATGATATGGTCCTTGGGATGTGTTTCAGTGGCTTAGGAATCCCTATAACACATAGTCCACTTTTCCATCAGGTCAGAGAGTTATTTTTACTAGTATTTAAAATATATTTCATTCTTTTAAGTATACAAATAAAACAGGACTCATAAATATGGAAACTCACACATATTGTAAACTCCATCAATGTGTAATAACTGTAACCAAGATATTGCTGCTACACTTTATTTCTCTCCAGAACAAGTTTGTTCAAGCAAATAAGAATATTGTCAAAGCATGAATTACTACGGTGCTTTAATCGTTTAGAAAGTATTTCAGTTACCCTATGACTACATTTTGTAAAAAATGCATTTTATATAAAGCAGTCTGAGGTGAGGACTTTGAAAATAGAATGAGGAGCCACATGCTTTGAATACTTGTGATATATCCTCTAAGAAAAGAAAACCAAAAAACATACCTCAATACTTTTCAGGTAATGGAGAACTGACTGAAATTTTTTAGTAAATTTGTCTTCTTTCCAATTTTTCTATTGACTCAGTGTTTAATATTCTGAAATATCTCATTAGTGAAGATACAAAATGTAAAAGTATTCCCAGAACTGTTGCTTTCGTGATGGATTCTGAAGAGTAGTGTAATACGATATAAATTGCCCTATTCTAAAACAACGGAAAAAGAGGTCATGAAACATAATTTTCTTGTGAGTGTGTTCTCCAGTTTGGGAGAAGTGGGTTGGAATACATTTGAATCTTTTTTCTATCTTCCAGAATATTTAACAATCTAACTGTTGTGTCACAGTGGAAAACATGATGCCTTGAGTCCCAGAGAGATTTGCTGCCTCATAAACCAAATAAACACTTAGCCTTCCTCCTATGGCGTTAAAGAGAAGAAGCACTTAAGATTTTTCTCAAACAGTTCACAAGTTTTTTAAAAATAAGCATTTAAATCAGTGTAGTGTGTGATTTTTTCAGATTTTAATCCAGTTTAAAAGCTGGGAAGACCTGAGATTAAGATAATATGCTACTTGAAAATTAGCAAATTGCCATGTAATTCAAAGCAGCTATCAGTGGGGGGAAAAGTTTGCTATTTAAATTATCACTTTTTCCTATATTAAGATTTCCTTTCTGATTACATTTACTTTTTAGAGAAATGGGAAGACTGAGAACACACTATTCAATATTCTAATTCCTTGTCCATATAAAAAAATCATATCTGTTGACTTTCCTGTTTTGTCATTTACTCCTTTCAGTACAAGTATAAACGAAAGCAAGTAATGTATCTTATAAAATCAACAGAATTATTGAATAATTTGTGCTTGCACAGATATTTTTAAAAAGTACAACAAACCCACCTAATTAAAGGAAAGTTGGAAAGAATAGAACACATTTTACAGAGTTGTAGGAATGACCCTTATAAACAAAACACTTCCTTGTAATTCTTAATGGTGTGCATTTGATACTGAATCACTTTGAAAGTGAAATCCTAGCAGTTTGATTTTCCACGTAGAAAATTACTCTTCAATTGTAATTCATCTTTACTGTTGCTTATAGCAAATTCTAGTTTAACATAACCTTGAACAGAAATTAACACTGGGGGAAAACTACTGAATAAAAATTGAATGTGATTATCTATGGATTCTACTATTATACAACAAATATTTTAAAAATGAGAAAACCAAAACTGGATTTTCTATCAACCAGAAAATTATTTTTTAAAGACTTGATTGAAATATTAGGATGTACAATGTTCCTTGAAGTACATGAATCCAAAATTGTACTGAGTATATATTATGAAACAGAAGCAAAAATACCTTCATTCTCAGAGTGTCAATGATGTGACAGTGTTGGCTCGCTCTTACTGGTTTCCTCTTTGCTATGTGCTCAAGCAGATACATATTCTGTAACCTGTTCCAGAGGCTTTTGATATGACGAGACTCTTAGAGAGAACAGAAATCTTCTCATGTTGAGTAGCAGCCAGGATTGTGGTCTTAAAATACAAGAAAAATACAAAATCTGGGCAAGAGCAATGTGTTTGGCTTTTGTTGAATAGCAGATATAAATTCTAGAACAAAAAAAAAGCAAAAATAACAATAATAAATTCCATAAAATGTAAGGAAGAGAAAGTTAATGGAATTTACATCTTGAGGTCGACCACCTATAAAGCAGTGTCATTCTTAGAGAGCAATGTAATAAAAATGATAATTATTGGAACAAGTCTCATTAGAATTATCAAAACACCAAAATGTTGTTTATAGCTCAATGAAAAGCTGATTGATTTTCAAACTGAAAAAATATTTGGTCTCGGATATCTAAAAACTGTTTCTATCCAAAGTAACTTCTTCAGGTTTTTGAAACCTAAATGTTCATTAAAGTTTTTATCAAAAGTCTTGAGGGAGATAGACTCCTGCTTGATTTCTCCAGGGCAATTTTTAAAAATAAGCACACTCTGGTTTAAATATCAACATTAAAGAAGTCAAACACCACCACATATTCTGATTTCTTTATATCAAATTCTGTTACTTAATTTTATGACTGGAGTGTATAGAGAACTGCATGAAGAACGCAGCATGTAGAATTCATTAATACCTCCATAATCAAATCAGTGATTCAGTATCCAAATCACTCGATTCTCTTCTTTTGTTTTACATCCAGAAAAAAAAAGAATGTGTGCCTTTTGTGCATGTCTCTTTACAAAAACTCTTATTTACAATGGAAAAATCTAGTTATTTTACCAAGGACCATTACAGGTGGGTTTTTTTGTGTAATGATGCACTTACATGCCATTAGACTGTCAGAGGAAATGAACCATGCTTGGTGCGTTAAGGAGTCAGCTGCATCATGAAAAGCAGGGGAGAGAATTTCTACAAGGGCATGTCATGAGGACAAGGGGCAATGGCTTTAAACTGAGAGAGGGTAAATTTTTATTAGATCTAAGGAAGACATTTTTTACTTTGAGGGTGGTGAGGCACTGGAACAGGTTGCCCAGAGAAGTTGTGGATGCCCCATCCCTGGAAGTATTCAAGGCCAGGCTGGATGAGGCTTTGGGCAACCTGGTGTAGTGGAAGGTGTCCCTGCCCGTGGCAAGGGGGTTGGAATTAGATGATCTTTAAGGTCCCCTCCAACCCAAACCATTCTATGAATCTGTATGATCATGTGGCTGTGTTGTAATTGTGTCTTTTTTGATATAACCTCATAAAGGGTTAAACCTTCACTGTAGTGAAGGGTTTAGAGAACTTGTCCTATGAGGAGCGACTGAGGGAGCTGGCACTGTTTAGTCTGGAGAAGAGGAGGCTCAGGGGGGACCTTATTGCTCTCTACAATTACCTGAAAGGAAGTTGTAGGGAGATGGGGGTTGGTCTCTTCTCCTGTGAATGACAGGACAAGAGGGAATGGCCTCAAGTTACGCCAGGGGAAATTTAGGTTGAATATCAGGAAGAATTTCTTTACAGAGAAGGTTGTGAAGTATTGGAACAGGCTGCCCAGGGAGGGGGTGGAGTCGCCATCCCTGGAGGGGTTTAAAAACCGTGTGGATTTGGTGTTGAGGAACATGGTTTAGGGACCCTGACAGTGCAGGGTGAACGGTTGGACTCGATGATCTTGAGGGTCTCTTCCAACCAGATGATTCTATGATAAAGAATAACAAGGCAGTTTTCTAGCACCACAGTATTTCCTGGTAGGGAAACAGGGCATACTTAGTATCAGTTTATTTCATAGCATGATAACTGCAGCACGAGTTTAAGATCTAAATCTAGAATGATGTAAAAAAATCCCTTTGTTACCATTTTGTGTATTTTGTCAATGCCACGTTGCTCTGTTATGATACAGAGGCCACTGAGTGGTGACACTTTCTTGTTCTGAAATTATTCTTCATCACTGAATACTGGTGGGTTTGGTTTATTCTTCCATCTTAGGCACGGCCAATGGATTACCCAAAAGACTACCTTTCTCACCAAATTCCAGTATCATTTCACAAGCATTGGAATATTGATCCAGTGAAGGTGTATTTCACATGGCTGGCACCAAACACAGAAGAGTCACTTAATGGAAGGAAAGTTGGATATAACAGAGAGGATTTATAAGCAGAAGAAGAATTTAAGTATTGATAATGTACTGCAGGTGAGAGACAGTCACTACTGTGATTTTTGTGTTGTTCTCACGTTGTTCATCTGTTCATGACATAGAAGACACTGTTTTATTCCTGCTTGTTACATTCCTTCAGAGCAATGGAAGAAGGCACCTAATTGACTTTTGGATTCTTTGTTATGCTTGGTTTCTTTCTAAAATGTTTTTGGGCTTTGTATACCAATGAACTTGACACACATTTAAAATGTCTCATACAACTTCATCTGTGGTCTGGTTTGGACTTTGAGTCGGACAGCATCAGTTTACATTTCCTTCCTTTGTTGTCTCGAAAGCTGAAATCATGTATTTGAGAGCCTAATATTGAACATGTGTTGAACATCATCTCTCACTGACCTACAGAAACAGTTCTCTAAACTGTTTGGGAACAGGTTCCTGAGAAATGGGAGAGGAGACATGACTTTGTTTCTGTGACCAGGAGCTAAATTGTGTGAAGGCTGTGTTCCTTTATAGTCGTTTCAGATAGAAATATTTTAGCTTCCCGGCGTAGATGGGCCAAGCGTGAACCACTGTTGCACATTTAAGTTTATTCGCGTTTGTGAAGAATGTCATGCAAAATTGGTAAAAACGGTTAAGGACAGGGATTTCTTCAGTGGCCACGGGAGGTCACTGTGGCTCCTTTAGAAACCCAAGTCACTGTGTATCTATTTGGCAAGTATAAATGTGACTCTTAAGGATTTCTGCAGAACTAACACTTCAGTACTTCTGATGTGTGCGTTTCAATAGTATACGGATGCCAGCTTTAAAAAGTTTGTAGTATTCCTAATTTATATCATCAAGATAAGTAATTTTACAGATTCAACATGCAAAGAGTGATTCATATTTAAAATGTTCTGGATTTATTTTTTTTTTTGAGTAATTCAGTTTTGTAAAAACGTTTGTACAAAACCTGGGTAGAGTATGTTCTAAACTAATTTTTATACTCTAAAACTGCTCCTTTTAAGACGATATGGCACTTGCTGTTATTTAACTTCGCTTGCTGTATTGTAACCAAATACAGGGTCTTAAAGCCATACTGCTGAAGTAATTTGGGTTGGGTTTGGTTTTAGTAGGTTAAAAATTGATTCCTCTCCAAAGTAATGCAATACTTGCTCTTAAATCCAAGTAGGGGAGCCACTGATTACAGTTTCAGTAATTACTGAAGTTGTGTAAACATTTGTTTGTGAATGTAGCTTGTGGAATGTTAAGCATTTGAATAGCAAGCACATATACATAAAGCATCCAAATTCTGATTAAATCGGAGCAATCCATGTATGTATTTTTTCTGTTTTCTTCCCACTATCAGTGCCTTAAACAGTAGACATTTTACTGATACCAGGGCTATGTTCTCCGGTACCATGGGTGATTTGTTAATTATGTTTACTGTTTAGAACTGTGAGAGCTGAAAGCTGAATAAAAACGTTCTTCTTTAAGCTTTTGTGCCTTCTTCCTCTTTGGAAATTGAGTACGGGATTATTTAGGCAACCATGTCATAATTTTATCACCCGAATAATATTCTGTGGTCAATTGTACTGAAAGGCAGCTTAAGGTGTTTTTTTTTAATATTCTGTCCTCACATGCTTTCCCAGTTTAGGTTTATTTTCAAGCCTCTAGTTTTGTACAAATGCTTTTGCAATGGGCATCTCCTGTGATGGGGAATCTCAATCACAAAATGTAAGTCATTATCAAATTCTCCAAAGATCTTGCAACGTAATCCAATCACTTCCAACTTCAAACTGGTGATACTTCATATCTCCTTGGGCCCTGTGGAGGCAGAACAGGCCCGGCAAAGATGATGAGTTTTGGGTCCATGCTGTCTTACTTAGAGCTTGGGAGCCATCGGTTCATTCATTGCTTGCTTACTTGTGGTCTCACAAATGTAACGGTAGCTGTCTTGAAGTTAAACTGAAGCAAGAGAAGGGGAATTCACAGCTCACTTTTGTAACAGGCAGATTAAAACAGGACTGCAGAGCTGTTTGACTGCTTGGATTTCCCTTTTCTGGGGCATTCCACAATTGTAGTGTGAAAAAGAAAACCTGGGAAGCATTATTGACTGTTTTTAATGTTTATAACACAGGAAATTAAGCTTACCATGTATTAAGCTATTTCTTTCATGGAATTCTCTTGATAATTTGGTTGGTTGGTTAATCCACTTTCAGGAGCCAAAAAGAAATCTTGAAATACTGGTGCCTTCAATATTGCAGGGCATGTAAATGATGAGAGATGAAGTATTTGAGTCCCACATTTGATCACAAGTGAGAATGAGGACTCTGAGTCTTATGTTCATCTGGAGACAGCCCAGGCATGGGGAGACTCGAAAGGAACTGACCTTTATCTCTTTCTCTGTGAGAAGGAAAATGGGCAGGAGTCTGAGGCCGCTTGCCAGCTGGGTGACTTTATTTTTGTGCTGGAAAACTCTGCCCTAACACGAACTCTAATGACTGCTGACTGGAGGGAGGAGTCCAAATTACTTTATTTTCAGTTCCTTAATTTCTCAAGGTTTAGGCCTTTTTGTTATCATGGCTGGAACTAGAATATGTCTCAGCCAGAGAGCCAAGATGCCATTCCATTAGATTCCTGGAAAGTGAGATCACCACTGGGTAAGGACTATCGTAACAGGCACTGTGAAGTGCCTCCAAAGCCAGTAATGCCACTTTATTACTGAAAAACATGGAAAAGTAGCAAGGTGATTTGCTTTTTACAACCCTGTAAAAGTCTGAAGGCGTTTGTTCTTGGATTCTGTGATAAAAAAGACATTTGCTTTAATGGAATTGCTTCTGCTTATTGTTGATATGAAACTAAAGGAGAAATTTAGAATAATGAGCAAAGTACTCCCTGACGATGCCACCTGATCGTACAGTTACGAGGAAACCAAGAGCACTGGAATCTCTGCCATTAATGCTGCCTGGTGCAGCTCTAGCTCTCAGGTCTTACATCACAGCAGCACGGTTACATCATCCCTCCCTGCTACCCAGCTGCACACACCTACCTTGTCAGTACAGAACCAGCTCACCTCCCCAGTCACAGTGAGGATGAGATCCTTAAGTAATTATTTCATTCAGCAAAAAATAGATACAATACTGATTTGTAAGCAGTTCATTTTTCTGTTTCAGTTTGGTTTGTGTTATGTGCATGTATAAAGATTCGCTTTGTTAATAACGCAGTCTTACAGTGGCAACTATTGTGTCACTAACCACTTGATTATTTAAATTCTGTCCCAAGAAGAAAATTCCTCACACTTAACCAATCTCAGACTGTGGTTTACAGGAAAAGACCTGTGGGCCTAATGACCCACGAGACTAGAGGAGGCAAAGGGAGGTGAGCTCTCTGTTTGCATCGCCTGCTTTTGCCGAGTCCTTTAACTCTTACCTTGTAAGCTAAAAAAAAAAAAAAAAATGTTAAGCTACTCCTGTGAGAAATAAATTTTTAAAGCAATGCTTTTAGAAGTCTGAAGGTGAAGAGTCTACCTCTTGCACAGAACAACTCCAAAAAAGTAAAAAGCAGTAAGCTGTTAATATTTTACGGACTTGACTTACAGAAATATCTAGAGTGTGAGCAGTTGGTTAATTGTCATAATAAAAAGCCAATAAAGAAAATTTTCTGCAGGGAAAATTATTGTGCATCATCAATTAGTTTGTGCCCACTTCTCCTGCATGTATTTCAAGCAGCTGTGACTTTGCAGGAACATCTGTTGCTCACTGATGCCATGGGACAAAGTGTTGAGGCGAAAGCAGTAATGAAGCGGGCTGGTGCGTGTGCTCAGATCTAACTCAAAAGCACTTAAATAATGGAAAGAAAAGATGCTGAAATAAGAAGCCAACACCAACCATAGCCAGGGTTACATCTCAAGTTCTTGGCCATCCTTGCTATTTTACTATTCCTTTGAAGTGTAGCAGCCGTGGATCATGGTCAAAGACGAAGGGGATGGGCTGTGCAAGCTTTGGATGATGCATTGGGCATTTCACTGGATTCTAGTTGGGACACCTCCAGATGAAGGCTGCACGCAAACTGAAGTGCTGGTTCACCACAACTTCCAGGCCAAGAAACATGCCGAAGACAAAGATTCCAAAGCTCGGGCTCTGCAGGGCAGCCAGCCAAGCTCTCTGCTGGATATGATTTTAGGATCCCAGAGAAACTGAGCAACTTTTTGTATCAGGAAGTCAACAAGCTTTGGAGCTGATATGTCAACAGCACCGGACCTGTCAGCAGTCTCCTCATCAAGAGGGATGATCATGTTGGGAGGCAGTCTCAACCACTCCTAAGCCCCTGCATTACAAGTGGGAGTTAGGGTTTGGCCTCCTAGGGATCACATTTGAGGACAAAGTGATTTGAGGTCAATCTGCTTCAAAGTCTAGCTAGAAATGCCAGATATTCTGTGGAAGGCAGGGCTGAGCCCTGATTCTTTCCAAATCCTGTGTTTCAGAGGAATAATTTATGCCTTTCCCTCATGTGACTGACTTCCAGGGACCTCAGACAGAGCACCAGAACTCAGCATGTCTCCACCTGGACAAAACAGTTGTGTTTCCCATTTTTGCTAATGTTGGGGGCTGAAACCCAAAGCCCCTTCCCTTCCTGCCCAAGTTGCTCACAGAGCACTTGGGGAGGACCCACTATCCAGACCTGTCCTCCATCACAGCATAGGTGCTGGGTGAAATATATTCATCTTTGGCGAGCAGCTGACAGAGGCCAGGTGGCCACCCATAGCTCCCTAACAGCCTCTGTGTTCTCTTCCCACTGCTTGGGAAGTCCAGGTCTCTTTTGTGGGATTTTCACCTTCGTTATTTTTTGCTGTCTGCTAGGAGTGAGGGACTCAGTTGTTTGAGGGTGATTTCCACAGATCGCCCTCCAGTAAATCCTCTTTAATGATTTCCACATCCCACAGTTCACATGTTTTTTTGTGGGCCCTTGTTAAGGTTTTTCCTGAAGGATGCCCCACCTCACAAGGACTGATGTCTGTCACGGCAGCCTCCTTTGGATTTCTGGACGTCTTACTCACTGCCACAGTTACTCATGAAGGTGACCTCCTGATAGCCGCTGCTTCTGCTGGG